AGTGAGATTGTTCAAACCGCATAAGTCTCATAATGATGGAGCATGAAATTTCAATGACATTGCTGTGTCCAAAAAGGTGACTATTGCTAAGGAATTTCTAAAAAAAATAAAAAATGCTTCGCAAAAGGTTAAAAGGCCAAAGCTAGTACGCCTTTGGCGAACTTGATTTCACTTAAGTAGAAGGCTAAAGAAAACATAAGAGTGTACATCATAGATATGTCTCATCCTGCTTCAAAACTAAAGGCATTGAACTTTGAGTTGTTTGATGACTTGATCGTGCATTTGATTTTGATTTCTCTTCTTACACAATTCAATTAATTTAAGGTTGGTTACGACTATCAAAAGGGAGGAGTGGATTCTTAATGAACTCATTTCATATTGTGTTCAATTTAAGGTCAATTATAACTGCCAGAAGAAGAAATGGTCTCTAAATGAGCTTACTTCATATTGTGTGCAAGAGGAAGAAAAGCTAAATCAAGAGAGAACTAAAAGTACTTATTTGACAAGTACCTCCAAGGATAAATTAAAGAATAACGAAACTGTATTCTGTTCAATTCAAAAGAAATAGCAAAAGTCTCAAAAGGATAAATTATCTCGCTATTAATTTTGTAAAAAAAAAATTAGAATACATAGAGAGAGACTGTACTAAATACCACACTTGTTCTTTAAAGAAAAATACACTTCTACTTTGGTTTGTTTTGAAGTTATTTAGTTTCAATATCAAGATACGTTTGGTTGATAAATTCTAGAGGGATTTCTTGAATTGCTAAAATCAATTGATGTTAAAAGATTCATCTATGTGGAGCGATGGCAAATCAGTTAAAATTGAGTCTATAAGGACTTCTGGGCTATTTTTAAGGACTGGTTATTATTTGAATTTGAAAGAGACATTTTGGGTACCTTTTTTAGACAAAATTTGGATTATATTTCTATTTTGGACAAATTCGATTATTCTTATTCATTTGAAAATAGTCAATTTAGTCTTTTTCTCACCAGTTCTTTATCCGGTTATAATAACATATATTTTTGCTTAATACAGTTGCTTCTTATAAAGAAACATTGCATGTGAATTTATGTTGTATTAAACATAAATTAACTAATGAGAATTTCGTCTCATTATGGCACAAGCGATTATGTCACTTCTCTCAAAGGAGAAAATAAGAGCTTATGTCAGAATGAATTCTTTATTGTTTTGATTTTGCGGAATTTAATGTTTGTATTAATTACATTAAGGAAAATAGACAAACATAAAGAGATTAGGTGTTAATAGGACTTCGGACGTTTTAGGACTAATTCATACGGATATCCGTAGACCATTCCCTTCGATTCCTTGGAATGATCCACAGTCACATATTACGTTCATGGACAATTATTCTTGCTATGACTATCTGTATCTCATTAATAAGAAATTTCAATCACTGGACATGTTAATAAGAAATCTCAATCATTGGATATGTTCAAGGCTTATACGACAGAAGTTGAAAATCAACTCGAAAAAAGAATAAAATAAGTTGATCTAGCCGTGGTGGTGAATACTATAGCAGATATGACGGATCAGGAGAACAATGTTCAAGGCCTTTTGTTAAATTCCTAGAGGAATGTAAAATCATCCCACAATACATCATGTTAGGGTCCCCTAGCATGAATAGTGTTACTGAGAGATGATGTAAAACACTTAAGGAAATGGTAAGGAGTGTGATTAGTTATTTCACTTTACCAGAATCTCTAGGAAGAAGAACTAAAGATTGCGGCTTAAATTCTCAATAAAGTTTCAGTAAAGCAACTGTCAAAATCCATTATGAGCTTTGACAAACAATAAACCTAATTTGAGGCACTTGCACATTTGGGATTGTCCAGCTAAAGCAAGACCTTATAAACAATGGAAAAATAAACTGGACTCCAGAATCGTCGGCTGCTAATTTATTGGATACTTTAAAAGGTCAAAATTTAAGATCCCACTATCAAGTCAATTTTTGAAACGAAAAATGTCTAATTCCTTGAGGATGTAAAGTTTGCGGGAGGAGATAAAGTTATAAGATTAAGAATTTTGGCTTAGAGGAAAAACATGTATATACTTCTTCTGTTGCAATTGCAAATGATGAGGACCAGGGACAAATTTTTGTTTCAGATCTTGTTCAAGAAGTAATTTCGGATCGAGACAATCTTACAAAATCTCCTATACACAATCAACTTTCATCAAACCATGCAAATGAATAATTCTAAAGAGTAGATTGATGACATAAATAAAGAGATAAAGTCCATAAGTGTCAATGACAGTTGGGAACTTATCCAATTTCCTGAAGGTGCGAAACTCATTGGTTGTAAATGGATATTTAAAACTAAGAGAGATTCAAAATGTGATGTGAAAAGATGTAACACCCGTCTTGTTGCAAATGACTTTACTAAAAATGAAGACATTGACATTAAAGAGACTTTCTCTCTGATTTCTACGAAAGACTCTGTTAGAATTGTTATGTCACTTGTGTGACATTTTTTGATCTTGAGTTACATCAGATGGTTTGTAAATTAAAAAAATCAATGAGCTTAAGTAGGCTTTCCGTCATTGGTATCACAAATTTCATCAAATAATTATCTCATTTGGTTATGAGATGAATCAGTTGATGATTGTGTATATCACAAGTTCAGTGGGAGTAAGCATATCTTTTTGGTATTGTATGTTGATGATATACTATTTATCTGCAATGATATGGACTTATTGTATGAAATTAAGAAATTTATGTCATAGAATTTTGAAATGAAAAATCATTGTTACGCCTTTTTTGTATGAATGATACAAATACACCGAGGTTGTCCTTAGGGTAATTTTGGATTATCATAAAAGAGTTATATCGATAAATTTCTTAAGAGATTTTGGACGTAGAAATGTAAACTAGGTGATATTCCTATTACTAAGGGAGACAAGAACAATCTCAAATCAATGCCTTGATGATAAACTTAATGAACATGAAATACGAAAAATTCCTTATGCTTCAGCAATTAAGAGTTTAATGTATGCTTATTTTTGCACATATTCGGATATAGTATTCATTATTGGAATCCTGGGAAGTTATTTAATTAACTTTGTGATAGATATTTGAAAAGCAGTCAAGCGGGTTATTCGGTATCTATAGAGAACTAAAGTTTACATGATCACATACAAAAAATTAGACCAATTGGAGATCATTGGTTATTCTGATTCTGATCACATGACTGTGGAATTTGTTATTGGGCTGTATATTTTGGATGGAATTAAAAGCCCACTTAAGTTATTCTGTGACAAAGTAGTTTTGTATTCCAACAGGAGCTCGATGCTGTCAAAATTTATAGATATCAAGTTCCTAGTTGTTAAGGAAAGAATTCAAAGTATTCAGGTTTCTATAAAGCATATTATAACAAACTCCATGATTGCGGATCCGCTTAATAAAGAACTACCACCCAAAGTCTTTCATGAACATATTGCTCATACGAGTGTTGCATCTTTTTGTGATATGTCAATTTAGTGGGAGTTTGTATCTGATGGTTGTCTGATTCAGACATATTTTATGTTTATATATACTCGGTTTATTATGCAGAAAAAAAGTATTAAGTCCAGTTTCACTCTAATTAATGTTTTTAGTTTAATCTCATTAAAGAATAAGGTAAGACTAGTTGGAAATATATGTTTGGATTAAATTACATGTAATTTTTATGCAACACATCCACACTTAATCTATATTATTTGATTTTGTTAATATACGTGTCCATTGAAGGTTTATTTGTGATACTTGTAATGAAGAGAGTTTTGATTCTATATTAATATAATTGATGGGCGATATTGTTCGGATGTACTTTCGGTTATGATAGCAAAATGTTTGAGTTCATAAGGTTATTAACATTTATAAGGAAATATATGTGGCTAAAGTGAGTGATCGTTGAGTTTTAATTAGTCGTGTAAACATACATTAGTAATTAATTACATTTATAAGGTAATATATGTGGCTCAAGTGAGTGATCGTTGAGTTTTAATTTGTCGTGTAAACCTACATATGTAATTAATTGTGTATAAATGTTATTTTAAGGTTAAGCTCAATTAAAGTGATCTAATAAAGAGTTTAAGTTATGGGGTTTTGGCATCTAAATAAAGTGTGAACCAAATTATATGTATAGAGACCGATTTTATAGTTGTATTTGACGATGAGCTGAATACATAAGGAAATATAAATAGGGTTATGACCCTCAATTCAAATGTAATTTCTCATTCTTTGTGTTATCCCATTAACTCGAGAATTAAAAGAAAAATCATATTGAAGAGGAATATCCAAAAATAATAAAAAATAAATAGAGAGAGAGGAAAAAAAACCTACAATCAAGAACAGTCAATCTACTATTAACAATCAAGAAGAAGGAATTCAAGAGTCAAGGCTACGGATCAAAAAGCAAAACCAAGGACAAGAATTAAGAATCAAAGAAAGCAAAATTCAAAATTAAAAGTGAAAGAAGCCAAATATGAAAAGATTGCAATTCAAGTTTCAAGATTTAAGATTTGAAATCAAAATTCAGTAATAAATAATTATTCCCAATGAATTAAGGTATGTTTCGCAATTGACATGGAGAATTTTGACAATAAGGTAATTAAGTTTTCATGTTCTAAATATTTAAAGATCCATAAAAATTTCGACACTAACACATAGGTACGATTAAACTTGTCAGTCAGATTATGGCTCAATTTGGGAATATTGGTCCTGAAACTATCTTACAAGCATGGCTGGCTAAGTTTATAAATCCTCTTGGCGGGTTAGCCAAGTTGAATTAAAAAACAAAGTAAGAAACGCCATTGCTCGTAGCGGATTTCAACTTGAGAGGAAGATAAGTGGGACCAGATGACCAGAAATTATTACCAGCCTTACAATCTAAAAGTATATCGCAACAAAAATTTAAGAGATGAAGCTACAAACCTGCGTCACAAATTAGACAAGATTTTTCGATAGAGAAAACTGTAAAAGCGGCCAACAAAAATCACCATGGCTGCAACTTCAACAGCATCACATCTTCTCTTTTCAAGTTCCCAGTCCATTATCTCTCGTTTCTCCCCCTTCCAGCTATGCGGTTTGGATGCCAAGACCCTCAATGGTGGCGCAAGGAAGAGGACGAGAGTGGCAAGTGGTGGAGGAGTCCGGTGCATGGCGGTGACCACGGAGGCGGAGACGAAGAAGAAAAGTGGTTATCAGATTGAGACATTGACTAACTGGCTGTTGATGCAAGAACAGGCTGGTACTATTGATGCTGAACTCACTATAGTACTCTCGAGTATTTCAATGGCGTGTAAGCAGATTGCTTCTCTAGTTCAAAGGGCTAGCATTTCTAACCTCACAGGGATTCAGGGTGCTGTTAATGTTCAAGGAGAGGATCAGAAAAAGCTTGATGTCATCTCTAACGAGGTCCGTGTGAATAAACGTCTAATCTAATCCCTCTAACTACTTTTACATTTAGATATAACAATGTAACATAGAGCATATAGGTCCATTGAGTTCAATGTTATCCATTTATGAAATATTGTGCAACGACGCAAAAGTCTTGAATCCAAATCTTAATGAATCTGACTACCATGTTATGGGTTCATCGGAACACTAAAATTAATAAACTGTATTATCTCTATTGGTTTAAACTTTTAGAAACTGATTTAATAAAATGTCATTAGCACAATTCAAATTAATTTTGATGGGCCTTCAAGGCATGAAATGAACAATAATTTGTTGAAGGTGTGGTTGATGTGTTTTATTTAGGTGTTCTCTAATTGCTTGAGGTCAAGTGGAAGGACAGGAATCATAGCATCTGAGGAAGAAGATGTGCCGGTGGCTGTGGAGGAGAGTTATTCAGGAAACTACATTGTCGTTTTTGACCCTCTTGATGGATCATCCAACATTGATGCTGCTGTATCCACTGGCTCTATTTTCGGAATTTACAGCCCAAATGATGAGTGCCTAGCAGACGTTGACGGTGTTGCCACGGTATATTGCTATTCTATATCGTTTAATTAATGACAATTGTGCATGTATTGGACGTTAGATTGAGAAATGAATCTGATTGCCACTGTTTAACAGGTTAAGCTTTTATATAAAACGTGGTTCAATGTATTGAATTGATTTCTTATCACATACATATAGGCTTGAGTTCTATTTTCGTACAGTATGTTGAGACTGAAATAAGTAAAATCTAGCTAAAATAAGAATTTTGTAACTTCTGATTTGTTACAGCTTGGCAATGTGGAACAGAGGTGTGTTGTGAATGTGTGTCAACCTGGAGATAATCTTCTTGCAGCAGGCTATTGCATGTACTCTAGCTCTGTGATTTTCGTGATCACCTTAGGAAAAGGTGTATTTGCATTCACATTGGACCCCATGTTTGGGGAATTTGTGCTTACTCAAGAAAAAATTCAGATACCAAAGGCTGGAAAGATTTATTCTTTTAATGAAGGCAATTACCAGTTGTGGGATGATAAATTGAAGTACATTGATGATCTTAAGGATCCAGGCCCGAGTGGTAAACCTTACTCTGCTCGATACATTGGTAGTTTGGTTGGCGATTTTCATAGGACTTTGTTAGATGGTGGGATTTATGGGTATCCTAGTGACAAAAAGAGCAAAAATGGGAAGCTGAGGCTCTTGTACGAATGTGCACCAATGAGCTTCATCGTTGAACAAGCTGGTGGTAAAGGATCGGATGGGCATAACAGAGTCCTTGATATTCAACCAACTGAGGTGTGTCAAATGAAATTTGATCCCTGTTGCAAATTGTTACATTATTGTCCTCAGGTTTCATCTTTCAGTTTTGATCTTTTGTTTTTTTTTTTTTTGTGCAGATACATCAGCGAGTGCCCTTTTACATTGGAAGTACTGAAGAGGTGGAGAAATTGGAGAAATATTTGGCTTAATTACAATGTAATTGTAGATAAGGTTTAATTTTTGCTGATATATTTTATTTCAAATTTTTCAAGTAGAAATTCCTGTAAAATTTTGGATAACCATGGATAGTCTTTCTTACAGTAAAGAGTTGCTTCTCACGCCAGCTGCTGCTCTAGCTCTGTGATTTTCGTGATCACCTTAGGTATAGGTGTATTTGCATTCACATTGTACCCCATGTTTGGGGAATTTGTGCTTACTCAAGAAAAAATTCAGATACCAAAGGCTGGAAAGATTTATTCTTTTAATGAAGGCAACTACCAGTTGTGGGATGGTAAATTGAAGAAGTACATTGATGACCTTAAGGATCCAGGCCCGAGTGGTAAACCTTACTCTGCTCGATACATCGGTAGTTTGGTTGGCGATTTTCATAGGACTTTGTTATATGGTGGGATTTATGGGTATCCTAGTGACAAAAAGAGCAAAAATGGGAAGCTGAGGCTCTTGTACGAATGTGCACCAATGAGCTTCATCGTTGAACAAGCCGGTGGTAAAGGATCGGATGGGCATAACAGAGTCCTTGATATTCAACCAACTGAGGTGTGTCAAATGAAATTTGATCCCTGTTGCTAATTGTTACATTATTGTCCTCAGGTTTCATCTTTCAGTTTTGATCTTTTGTTGTATTTTTGTGCAGATACATCAGCGAGTGCCCTTGTACATTGGAAGTACTGAAGAGGTGGAGAAATTGGAGAAATATTTGGCTTAATTACAATGTAATTGTAGATAAGGTTTAATTTTTGCTGATATATCTTATTTCAAATTTTTCAAGAAGAAATTCCTGTAAAATTTTGGAAAACCATGGATAGTCTTTCTTATAGTAAAGAGTTGATTCTCACGACTGCAATGCCCAACAAAAAACTTGACATGATTAGAAATTACGAGGAAATAGTCATGATCCAACTAATCTTTCGAAAAAATTGAGAATAATAACTATCATAAATTGTTTTAGCCATCATCACCGTCTAGCCTTTTCAGATGAGTCGTCTACCTATCATTAAGCCTTACAGTTGTAGGTCAGTTTAGTAGTTACGAATGTTTGAAAATTCGACTAGTTTATCTGAAAAATTAGACCAAATGCAATAGCAATGCTTTCATCACCAGTAGTGTAATGATAAAAGCAATAATTAAATGAATTATAATTACTTATGACTCATCCTAAGAATTCAAAATACAACAAGAATTAAAGCTTTCCATTGGATCACATTCCGGCCCAATTCTTTAATTTCCATGTAGTTCAATCCAATATTGTGGGTCAATTTTATTTTGAGTTCCAGTCTTTTAAAAACAAAAGCCCTTATCCAATAAAACTGGCCAAACCATTGTACTCATTTTATTGAGCTAGGCATCTCATGCTACAATAAAAAAATGAGGATTGATTATTATTTGACCTATGAATAATTTTGTCAGAACCTTCTATGTGAGGCCTTTCAAAAACTTCATGTATAAGTGTAATGACCTCTGCTAATAATTATAAAATATCCTAAATATATGAGATGTTATCTATAGGATAATCACCCCATCATTCCATTTTAAAAATATTTTATTTCAAGATCCAATTTCAGTTAATCTAAAATAACATAGTATTCCTATAGTGAGACCGGTGTAATTCAATGCTAGAAATACGTATTTTAATAATAAATTGGATGACAGAGGAGGCCGCAGGTTTATACATGCCTATAAATCATCTCCAACTTATTATTTTGAACTGTTGGGTTTTTTTTTTTTAATAAAAATCGACCAAATATAAACAATTATAATGACACTAAATTATTAAAAATAATTTTTTCAACCACTTCTAATTAATTTAGAGTAATGAAGAAATTATGCAATACCAATGCATATGATTTTAATGAGCCGGGTGGTTTTCATTTAGTCACATGACATGTGATAATCATGCATTCATTCATCATCCATAAAGCGATAAAGCAATAATTAAATGAATTATAATTACATATGACTCATTCTAAGAGTTTAAAATACAACAAGAATTAAAGCTTTCCATTGGATCACATTCTGGCTCAATTCTTTAATTTCCTTGTAGTTCAATCCAATATTGTGGGTCAATTTTATTTTGAGTTCTAATCTTTTAAAAACAAAAGTCCTTATCCAATAAAATTGGCCAAACCCTCCTACTCATTTGATTTGAGTTAGACATCTCATGCCACAATAAAAAATGAGGATTGATTCTTATTTGGCTTATGAATAATTTTGTTGGATCCTTCTATAGAAAGTCTTTCAAAAACTTCATACATAAGTGTAATAACCTCCTCTAATAATTTTAGAATTTCCGAAATATACGAGATGTTATCTATAGGATAATCACCCCATTATTCCATTTTAAAAATATTTTATTTCAAAATCCAATTTCAGTTAATCTAAAATATCGTAGTATTCCTATAGGGAGACTGATGTAATTCGATACTAGACATACATATTTTAATAACAAATTGGATGACACAAGAGGCCACATGTTTATACATGCCTATAAACACTCTCCCACTTACTATCTTGAACCGTTGGATTTTTATTTAATAAATAATCGATCAAATATAAAAAATTATAATGACACTAAATTATTAAAAATATTTTTTGTCAACCACTTCTAATTAATTTAAAGTGATGAAAAAATTGAGCAATACCAATGCATATGATTTTAGTGCACCCGGTGTTTTTCATTTAATCTACATGGCATGTGATAAAAGCAATAAAAGTAATAATTAAATGAATTATATTCACTTACAGCTCATGCTAAGAATTTAAAATGCAACAAGAATTAAGAGGGTGTTTGGTGGGAATTAAAATTAGATTTTTAGTAGATCGTGATATAAATTTTTGAAATATATGATTGAAAAGTTGTGGGACTCATAAAAGATGTTGTTAATATTATTGTTTGACTTTGACTTAAATTAAAATCAGATTTTAATCTGGACCAAAAATGGGCTAAATCTTTCCATTGAATCACATTTCGACCCAATTTTTTTAATTTACTTGTAGTTCAATCAAATATTGTGGGTCAATTTAGAGGTGTCAAGACGAACGGGCCAGCCAAACCCGTGAAAATCGGCCCAGATCGACCTGGGACCGCGGGTCTACCCTTGACCCGTGACCCGAGCGGGCAGTTCAAGGGTCAAGGAGGTGTGACTCATGGGCTTCGCGAGTTGCACCTTCACGGGTCGTGGTTAACCCGTTCGCCCGTGAAATTTTTTTTTTTTTTTAATTTGAAAAAAAAAAAGGGAGAGAGTCAACCTAGTTGGGATGTACTTATGCTATAAATAATTGATAATAGTAATTAGAAATACATCTAGTTGTTATTTGTTTAAGCTAAATTTAATTTTGTAAAGTTATAATCTGATGTAATTCGATACTAGACATATATATTTTAATAACAAATTGGATGACACAAGAGGCCACATGTTTATACATGCCTATAAACACTCTCCCACTTACTATCTTGAACCGTTGGATTTTTATTTAATAAATAATCGATCAAATATAAAAATTATAATGACACTAAATTATTAAAAATATTTTTTGTCAACCACTTCTAATTAATTTAAAGTGATGAAAAAATTGAGCAATACCAATGCATATGATTTAGTGCACCCGGTGTTTTTCATTTAATCTACATGGCATGTGATAAACATACATTCATTCATCATCCATAAAAGCAATAAAAGTAATAATTAAATGAATTATAATCACTTACAGCTCATGCTAAGAATTTAAAATGCAACAAGAATTAAGAGGGTGTTTGGTGGGAATTAAAATTAGATTTTTAGTAAATCGTGATATAAATTTTTGAAATGTATGATTGAAAAGTTGTGGGACTCATGAAAAATGTTGTTAATATAATTGTTTGACTTTAACTTAAATTAAAATCAGATTTTAATCCGGACCAAAAATGGGCTAAATCTTTCCATTGAATCACATTTCGACCCAATTTTTTTAATTTACTTGTAGTTCAATCTAATATTGTGGGTCAATTTAGAGGTGTCAAGACGGACGGGCCAGTCAAACCCGTGAAAATCGGCCCAGATCGACCTGGGACCGCGGGCCTACCCTTGACCCGTGACCCGAGCGGGCAGTTCAAGGGTCAAGGAGGTGTGACTCGTGGGCTTCGCGGGTTGCACCTTCACGGGTCGTGGTTAACCCGTTCGCCCGTGAAATTTTTTTTTTCTTTAATTTGAAAAAAAAAAAAAGGAGAGAGTCAACCTAGTTGGGATATACTTAAACTATAAATTATAATAAAAGTAGGTGTCATCCTAGTTGGGATGTACTTATACTATAAATATTTGATAATAGTAATTAGAAATAGTTGTTATTTGTTTAAATTAAATATAATTCATGTAACATTAAATTTGAATTCTATATAAATATTTCTTGGTATAAATATGAATTTATCATTTTGTTCAATTCTTGGTTTACATTTAACAAAAAAAAAATATTTTTTGTTATAAATATGAAAAATTCTATATTTTTATAATTTTATTTATACAATAATATGTGTCAAATCGGAACAAATCGCGACATGCGCGACCCGTGACCAGCATGGGCTAGATCCGGATGGGTCAGCGAGCGGGTTTGAGTTGTAGTCCAAAATTTGTGGGCCGACCCGGAACCTGTAGCGGATGAGCTTTTTTTCACCCGAGCCGTTATCGGGCTCATATGTTGGCGGGCCAACCCGGCACGAACCACCCGGATTGACACCTCTAGGTCAATTTTATTTTGAGTTCCAATCTTTTAAAAACAAAAGTCTTTATCCAATAAAATTGGCCAAAGTTTTAACCTTTAGTCCAAAAAGTGAAGATTAACCTAATTTCACAAACCCTAGCAAATCTACCATGTACCACCTCCACCACCCACCTCCGGCGATGACACTGGCTACGGCGACCCCAAGAGGTCATCATTGGGTGGTGGCTACAGACAGCTGTGGCCACCTTCTACAATAGCAATGGCCGCTGCCCCAATGAGACTGCAGTTACAAACTGTTGTAACTACTACATTTTGAGCCACTACAGCAATGACTGATGCTGCCTCTTGAAAGGTAGTAGCTGCTGCATTCGGCCGCAGCTGTTGCTGCCCACCCTACAATGATTTTGCTTCTTGTTTGTTCCATCTCTATCTCCTTCCATTTCTTCAACAAGATTTCCATGCCATGAGTTTTCAACTCCAAAATCCAAATCTCTATGAAAAAAGGCAACTTAAAAAATATTTGGAAATATTTGGCGCCCAAAAGCCCATCATCTTCTCCCGATAGTCCGATACACAATAGAGAAAGTGGAAAATAAATATACAAAACCCTAGTGCTGGCTTACAATTTTTCTAGAGAAAAGTGCAACAAATAAAATACATTACAATGATGAAATAAATTTTTTAGAGCCAAAAGTGATCACATATAAAACCTAACACCACACATACTAAAAATGCATTTTACACTAAGATTTAAAAAAACTAATCATACTCAAGGCTCTTAATAACCATTAGCTCTAATGCCATTTGTTGGTTATTGGATTTAATTATCACAAGATGAAATTAATTTTCTTTTGAAGATTAAACCCAAGTGAATTATGGATCTTAGGTCACCTTAATGTCATTGGATTTTGTTTTTAAATCCTTACACATAAATGTGAGATGATAACCTTGAAAGAGTTTTTAATGGCCTAGACAAATGCTTCATCCCTTAAATTTTCTTCCTTATTCTCCTTA